TACGCATCTCTAGGTGAAAGAATAGCTTCATATTTTTCATGTCCACAATCTAACAATATCTTCACTGTCACTCCATGCAGTTGGTGGACTAACCTGAAACGTACACATGCCAACAACCACATAATTACTGCCGCCATATGCAATTAGGTTTCCTGAATCTCCACTCTCAAAGGGATTAAATTCCACCACATGCACATAATCGTCACAATCCACGGTGTAGGCAGCATTTCTTGTAGGATCTTGCTTCATCTTGTATCCCAAAGCTTGAGCGGTTGTAAGTATCAAACGGCCTTTTATTGGCTGTCACAAAACTGTGGATCACAAAGAAAATTTAAGAAGTGTTTGTCATTTGATAGAAGAATTACAATAGGGCCTGGTATTGCAATGTCAGAGGCAGCTCAAGAGAATTCTGCTTACATTAACACATATACATGAATACATTTAATAAAAATAGATCCCTAAGATTAAGCAACAGTGATATTATTTGTAGTTGGCATGTTGTGTTGGCATTATCACACCCAAGAGTTCCATAAAAGCTGGTACTACCAATAGTTCCCACTTTGCCTATGAAGAAATTTGCCAAGTTAATCAACAGGTTGAGGATTTAAAAGTCTTAGTATATGTCAGGCCTAAATGTCATAGAAAACACAAACATGCACACTTGCCTTTCTCAGGACTTTGCTACATTATTTGATCGAGTTATATGACTTTTAACATCAAGGGTCAGATGAACTGGAAAGTCCTACCCCTTCCTAAAGACACATGGAGTTTAAGAGCCTTGAAGGATATCATCATCTAGGGATAGTTACAATTAACAATAACCCATGCAATAAAATAAACAGATTCAAAAATACAGGCTCTGGAGTAATGTGTATTAATAATGTTATAACTTCAGTCACAAGCCTCAATTAATTTGTTAAGAGACAGGTAGTGTGCACTGTAGAAATAGCATCCTCACATGGGAATTAATTTTCACTTTGTTGTTAATTAAAAGGAGGTATCCTAGACTAAGAACAAACACATTAAATCCTGAGTATTTGCTGAGTTTTTCAGATTAAGTCCCATCTCAGGGGAGACTGGACACATGTTACTCGGGACCAGCAGGTGAGAAGACTGTAAAGCAGAGAGGCATAGGGCGTGCAGGAGACTTGAGGTCCAGATTTGATGTCAACCCCTCACCTCTTGGTCTTTAAAACCCAGTATCAATATTCCCTGGGCCTCCCTAGCAGGCGAGGAACAAGCACAGTAGTCAAGTCCCCGGAGTGTGTCCCCCACGCGTGGCTCAAGACAACCCACTCCCACCTCGCGAGGTCACAGGGAAGAGCTCTAAGGAACAGGGACGGGCCCCTGGGGAAGCAGCACAAGCTGGCAATCACCGGCCACCGCGCTCCATACGCACCTAATGCAGGGGAGGTGACCTGGGCACGGCTCTCCCGACCATGGGCCGCCGCGGCGGGCGCCCGCTCTGCTTCCGGGTCGGAGGGCGAGCGCGGCGATTGGTTCCCGGGTCGTGCCGCGAGATTTGAAAGGGACGCCGAGGCGATTCAAACCTCCGCCTTCCGGCATCCTGGCTGCGCTGCTCCTTCCTTGACTTGTACCCCCTAGATCGCCGGACGAGGTGGACCTCAACTTTTCTCTGCCCTCTGGTCACAGTGGTAATTCCGGATACTGCTTTTCGAACGCGTTTCGGTGACAGCGACGTGCCTTGTGCCTGTCAGCGGCGTTGTCTGCGCAGTGGCTTCGCCCTGACTTCACAGTATCCCGTGAAAAAATACCTGGAAGGTCGCTAGGGCTCGGCTATAGATGGGAAGACTGAAGCCCATCAAAATCTGCTTTTAGTCCGTTAGACCGGGGATCTGGCACACGACGTGTGCAGGCTCCCCCAGAATCTGTCTGTTGTTGCATCCTTCAAAGGGACATTCGGGACCAGACTAGGAGATTAACTGTCACCTGTCATCTTTTAATGGACCATTTTCTAAGTGCTGGCAATAAGGAGGTTGTATATTTGCATCACTGGTGCTTCATAATTCTGTTAAGTAGATATTCCCATCCCGAGTAGGGATGTGGAGAAATTTGTGTCAATCACGAGGTACAGCTAATGCAGGCGCGTGGTAGCAGGGATGCTTAGCTAAGTGTAGTGCTTTCTCACTTTACCTTCCAGCGACAATTTCCTGTCTCAGACTTTCTGCTCCAGTGCCCCTTGAATCCAGTTTTTAAAGTAAGAGTTTATTCCTTCTGACACCTTCTATCTGTTCTGTCCATCCATATTCAGCGTCTCATCCAGTCTTCACAACAGGCTGGCAGATAGAACAGAGGGGGAGGCATAGTCCTGTTTTCTTTGTGATAATACTTCTCCCTGAGCAGCCAGATCTAAAGTTAGGCAGCCCTGGGAAAGCTGGGACTACAGTAGACATTGGCATGTCAGCTGGAATGCCTGTTTGTCAATAGCCAGATCCAGAGGTAAACATGGTATTACATGTTTAAATGTTGGTGGAAAAAAAAAAGGAACATTTTGAGCCTTCTGAAAATTATAGAAAACAGGTTTTATTGTCCATAAATAAAATTTTAGTGAGGACCAGCTATGTTTGTTTATGCATTGTTCCTGGTTACCCTTATGTGACAAGGTCAGGGTAAGTGGTTGTGACATAGACTGTAGAGATGAATGTCTCAATATTTAGTGTTTGCCTCCTTCCAAAAAAGTTGCAGACTCCTAGATGACTCTTGGCTTTCTCACACTGATAGGAATTCTCTTTCAATTTTAACTGATGGTAACTAATGTGCTTGACTTTGCTGTATGTAAAAGCTTTAGATGTAGTTTCTTCTTTTACTGTTCACAAACTATGCTCAGTAAGAACTTTGTTCATTTTCACTACAAGGAAGTTGAGGCAGGGAGAGGGGCTGTTAAGATCTCTTAGCTCAGCAACTGATATAGCCAGGGATTCAGGATGATCTAATTCTGGGTGAATTTTTATTTATAGAAATATAAACATATAACACCTTCAAATAATACCAATGGGTAGACCTTTACCAAGAAATCTTATTTCAGGCAAACTAATCACATAGCTCATGCTTTTATGACTTCTTCAGTTTTTTTTTTAAAGAGATAAATGTGCTATGTGATGACCTAGGTGCTCATCAAGGAATGTATGAGTAGGGTCTGGGAAGGTGGCTCAATGGAGAAAGCACCTGGACAATTATGAGGACTGGAATCCAGATCCTCAGAATGGATGTCAGCGCTGGTGTGGTAATCTGCTTGCGGTCCCAGTGTGCCAGGGTTGTAGTCAAGAGATACTCGAGCAAGCTGGTTAGCCAGACTAGCTGATAGACAGGGAGAAACTGTTCCTCGATCTACAAGGTGGAGAGCAGTGGAGACAACAGTGTCAACCTTGGGCCTCCATACACATGTGCTCACATATAGGCGAGCATACGCACACGGCAGACTTGTAAAAAAGACGTAGAAAAGAATGGAAGTGGAGAGAGACTCCATAGGATGGCCGTCTAGAATACTGACACACCCCAGCTTACTTTGAAAGGGTTTTGCATGCCTCCAGGAGAACTTAAGAAAAACGTAGAAATCTTGGATTTACCCCTTTTTGGCTATTTACTAGCTTCGTGTGTTACTGAATATTGCTTTCCTCATGTGTGAAATGCAGACATTCATAGACTGACATCATCAGGATACTTGTGAAAATGGAGCAAAGTAATTAATATTAAATGTTTGAAAAGTATATGGTACTAAGAAGCTTCATGTGTTAGATCACATATTGATTATCTGTTTGCGGTGTAACAAAACATCAAAACCGCAGTCACTGTAAAATAACAACTGAGTATTTGCTTTAAATCTGTGGGTCAGCAGTTTGGGCTGGATCAGATAGTTGATTCCTCTGCTAGCCTTGAGCGGATGACTCGTGCTGCTGAGGCTCACCTTCCATGTTGATGGGGTCTCCATGGGATAAGCTGCCTCTTTTGTGGCAGTGAGTTGCTATCGGTTGCCAGCTGGAATACCTTACTTCTCTTCCATAAGCTTTCACCAGCAGCTTAGCTGGGCTTGGGAGTTAGATCTCCCCAGAGGGTTGATTTGCTAGGAAGAGCAGGAAAGTCAGCATTTAGGTGTAGTTGTGGACTTGAACTACTGTAGCAAAAGGATAAAGGTAGTGTCAGTGAAGAGAAAGGGCATGTGAAGTGAGTGGGGGAGACCAAGCACAGGCTTCTCGATGTCCTTAGAGAGTCCATGCTTAATTCTTTCAGCCACAGCTTGTGACAGTCCATGGAAGTATTGTCTACCGAGGAAAGTTCTTAGAAACGCTGCATGAGTTTTAACTGGGGACTAGACTCATGGGCATATCCTGTCCAACAAGTACCAAAAAATCCAGATTCAAGGAAATGAGGTGTTCATCACAAAACACATATAGTTTATAAAAACAGTTCAGCACAATGAAATACTTTTAATGGAAACTTGCTGTATTAACTATTTTGCCCAAACCTCCTAAAGCCTAGGCTTAGAATTCTCATTATCTCCCAGTCTACTAGTCAAATCAAGTCCTAAGACTGCTCCCGACTCAAGTGAGTAGAAAAGTAAACCACTCGTTTTAGAACAGTATACAAATGAGAGGAAACAACCCCCCAATCTACCACATATAGCACCATTTGTCTCAAAACAACTATCGTAAAATACAGATTTAATTAGTGATGTCTGTATTTAAAATTATAAGTTTGCAGAATTTGCATGTCTGTTTTATGTGAATTTTCAAAATTGAAGGTTGGATTTTTGTTATTTCAAAAGATTTGGCTTAAGAAAACTAAAGGAGGGGAAAATATGATTGGGCAGAAATTGTATTATTCTGTTTTCCTAAATTTAATTAAAAACAATCCTGGTAAATATGAAATGACTTCTTGTTCACTACTTATTTTTTCTAACCATGTTTGCTTACACATGTTAAATGTTACCTTCCAATTAAAACAAGTCACTTTAACATTGTATTCTGTTCTACTTTAAGAGAATGGCTGTGCTTAATCAGCTGTCTGTTTTGGGTATGATTAAAGAGTTTCGAAGGAATTGGCGTGTTCTTTGTAACTCTGAAAGAACTACGGTATGTGGTCCAGACTCCATGCTCCTGGCCCTGCAGCTCTCCATGGCAGAAAACAACAAACAGGTTAGTGCACTATATTTAGTTTAACTTTTTTATAACTCAGTTTTACTTGTTGCCCATTATAATTGGTTTGAGCTTAATTACACACATCATTTTCTTTGCAATATTTCCTCTCCTAAAATAGGGTGTTTCAGAAATGCTTCTGCATATCTGTGTCAAAATATTGCAGTAGGAATTTTTGGAAAAAAATTGCCTGTATATCTGAAATGATTCAATTTATGTTATGTGTATGATTTGAACATGAAATTCGGATATTTGGTCTCATGAAAAAAAATCATAAAGATTAAATCTGCAGCTCTTATGGTTAAATATATTCCTATTTAATAATTGTTCCTTTGTTCCTTAAAAGAAGCTCTAGAGGAGCAGGTATCATTCTTACTCAATGTAAAGTATTTTGTGTCTACTTTCAGCACTGTTGGGTGGATGTTGTTTCTTTCTTTTGTTTTTTTTTGTTTTTTCGAGACAGGGTTTCTCTGTGTAGCCCTGGGTGTCCTGGAACTCACTCTGTAGACCAGGCTACCCTCGAACTCAGAAATCTGCCTGCCTCTCCCTCCCAAGTGCTGGAATTAAAGGCATGCGCCACCACTGCCCGGCAGGATTTTGTATTCTTAAATCTGTTTATACATTAAAATCATTTGGGAGGTACTAATTAATTAATTAGTTAGTTTGTTTATTCTTCTCATATATTACATCCTGACTGCAGTTTCCCCTCCCTCCTCTCCTCTAAGTCCCTCCCTCCCACTTCCCCTCTCCCCAGATCTCCTCCTCCTCCTTTCCCTTCATAAAGAGCAGCCCTCCCAGAGATATCAACCAAACATGATCAAGGCTGGATAAGGCAGCCCATTAGGAGGAAGAGGGAGGAAAGAGCAGTTAAGAGCATCAGAGACAGCTCCCACTCCCAGTGCTGGGAGTCCCATAAGAACACCAAGCTACACAAGGTCAAACCCATACAGGCTCCCTATTGGTTCAGTTTCTGTGATCCGCTATGAGCACTGGTTATTTGACTCTGTAGACTGTGTTCTTATGGTGTTTTTGATCCCTCTGGCTCCTAAAATTCTTCCTCCCCATCTTCCATAGTATTTCATTTTGGGAAGTCTTTAAAAATATACTAGTTCATTGAAGCATGATGCCACAGGCCTGTAAATCTAGCTGTTCATGCTCAGAAGATAGCCTGTCTGGACTAAAGAGTGAGCTCAAGACTAGTTCATGCCTTGGGCCTTTGAGGCTCTGCCTCAAAATAGCATATAAAAGGGGGTTGAAGAAATCTCAGTGGTAGAGTGCTTCCCTAGCACATAGGAGGTGCGAGGTTCAATCTCCAGTACTACAAACAAACACACAAACACACAACCTGAAGTTGTTGCCTTGTTGTCCTAATGGGGTCTTCACTGACCTGCAGGAAGCTACCTTGAAGAAAATCTCTACAAAGTGATTGTCTTGTAGGTTGCTGGGGCCCACTGACCTTCCAATAGTGATGGGGAGTTGAGTCCACTGAGACCATTGCTTGTTAATTCCTGTTGTTTTGTTGTTGTTATTGGTGGTGAGTGTGTGTGTGTGTTTCCCTTTGTTGGGTTTTGCTGGTTTGTAATTATTGCCTATATTTTTCTGGATGTAGTTAACCTTATTGAATTTGAGTTCTCCTTCTAGTATGGATAGATACTAGTTAAATTTGATTTTATCATGGAATGTCTTGTTTTCTCCATCTATGGTGATTGAAAGTTTTGCTGAAAGTAGTCTGGGCTGGCATCTGTGGTCTCAGAGTCTGCTGGACATCTGTTCAGACCCTCTGGCTTTTAGAGTAAGCTTCTTGTACCTTTATAGACATCTACTTCTTTGGGTTAGAATTTTTGTCTATGATTTTGCTTCAAATATTTTCTGGGCCTTTGAGATGGGATTCTTTATCTGCTAGTTCTATTATTTTTAGATTTAGTCTTTTTATGGTGTCTTAGATTTCTTAGATGTTTTGTGTCAGGAATTGATTAGGTTTAATGTAATGTTTTCTTTGACTGATGTATCTGTTTCTTCTATCATAGCTCAGTGTCTGAGATTCTCTCTTCCATCCCTTGCAATTCTGTTGGTGGTGCTTGTTGGAGTCTAGGCATCTGGGTTTGTATAATTACTGGTCTAGGTGTCGATTTCTGAGCTTGTCTTTGTTAGATGGGTATTTTCTTTTTCTTTTCTTTTCTTTTCTTTCCTTTCCTTTCCTTTTCCTTTTCCTTTTCCTTTTCCTTTTCCTTTTCCTTTTCCTTTTCCTTTTCCTTCCCTTTCCCTTTCCCTTTTCCCTTTTCCCTTTTCCCTTTCCCTTTTCCCTTTTTCCCTTTTTCCCTTTTTCCCTTTTTCCCTTTTTCCC